GCTCGGTGGTTCAGTCTGTAATCCCACACCTTGGGAGGCTGAGGGAGTGGATTGCCTGAGCCTGCGGGGTCGAGACCCGCCTGGGCAACTTGGTGAAACCTCATCTCTAGAATAAATCAAAAAATTAGCTGGGTGTGGTAGCATGCGCCTGTAGTTCCAGCTACTTGGAAGGCTGAGGCGGAGGGATCGCCAGAGCCCAGCAGGTCGAGGCTGCGGTGGCCGGGAGCGGCCACTGCACTCCAGTCTGGGCAACAGAGTGAGACTGCAACTAAAAAATAAATAAATAAATAAAAAATAAACTACTGCTTACTCTGATAAGCCAAACTAGCCTTGTGCTATTTCTGTAACACTTTGCACATGACTCCTTCAAGTCTCTGTGTAAATGTCCCCTTCTTAATGAGGCCTACTACCCCAGTCACCCTATTTAAAATTACAAAACTTACTACCCTTTCTACCTCCTTTACCTATTTTTCTCTATACACCTTATGACCATTTGACATATTATAAATTTTATTTTATTGCTTGAGTTGGAGTCTTACTCTGTCCCCCACATTGGAGTACAGTGGCTCACCACAGCCTTGACCTCCTGGGCTCAGGCAATCCTTCTGCCTCAACCTCCCAAGTAGCTGAGACTACAGGCGCACACCACCACACCAGACTACTTTTTTTTTTCAAGAGGTGAGGTCTCACTATGTTGCCTTGGCTGGTATCCCTCCTCAGTCTCCCAAAGTGATGAGAGACAGGCATGAGCCTCTACACCTGGCCAAATTTTACTTATTTACTGTGGTTTCCCCTGGTAAAATAGCTCCATGAGAACAAGAATTGTTTTGCTCACTGATGTATCCCCAGTACCCATGATAACTGGCACATGGCAGACGCTCCAAAAGTATTTTCTGAATAAGTCCCAAATCTTCTTCATCAGCTTTCAGCTCCTGAGTGAAAGACCCACTTTTCCAACTGACTATAATACATCTACAAGTGATGTGCCAAAGACAATTAAGCCCAAAACTAAACTCATCTTCTCTCCTACACAAAACTGGCTTCTCCTCCTTCTCTCAACCTAGATTAAAGGTATCACTGCACAAACTCTGGAGTCATCTTTCATTCCTTCCACATCTAACTGATCTATACAATTCTACATCCCAAATTTCTTTCAAGTTCATTCTCATTCTAATAGTTACTATCTTATCTGAGGCATTAATATGCTTCTTCTTTTGACAAATAGTTACTGAGCACCTACTGTGTATCAAGCATTATCTTAGATATAGGAAAAGAATCAAGAGCAAAGCAGTCTTTGCCCACATAGAACTTACAATCTAGTAGGGAAACAAGGCAATCAATGATCATATAAATAGCGTTTTAATTGATTTTTTAAAAAATACGGGGTCCTATGAAAGCATATAAAATGTATCCTGACCATGTGTATGGATAGGAACAACAGGGAAGGCTTCCTTCAGTAAATTATGCTTGACTGCTATCTGAAAGGTGTGCAATAGTTATAACTAGATAAAGGTGGGAGGGAGGGGGGCAGGAGCACTGCAACCAAAAGAAAACTCCAAGAGCAGCACGTATGAAGGTTCTGGGTTCTGAAGTAAGAGGGAGGGGCACTGCGTAGTTAATAAGCACAGGATTTCTTTCTTTCTTTTTTTTTTTTTTTTTTGAGTTGGAATCTCACTCTGCCGCCCAGACTGGAGTGCAGTGGCCGCTCCCGGCCACTGCAGCCTTGACCTGCTGGGCTCTGGCGATCCTTCCACCTCAGCCTTCCAAGTAGCCGGAACCACAGGCATGCGCTACCACACCCAGCTAATTTTTTATTTATGTAGAGATGAGGTCTTGCCAAGTTGCCCAGGTGGGTCTCAAACCCGGGGGATCAGGCAATCCACTCACCTTGGCCTCCCAAAGTGCAGGATTACAGGTTGAGCCACCGAGCCCGGCTGCACATGACTTCTGAAGACAGAAAGCCTGGATGTGATATGCCACACATTAGGCGTGCATCCCAGGGCAAGTTACTCAAATCAGTTACTCTCTCTGAGGCTTCAGTTTTTCTTATTTTGAAATGGGGATAACAGAAGTATTTACCTTATAAGGTTACTACAAGAATTAAGTCAATTAATGTATATAAACAACTTTGAACACTCTCTTGCCACATAGTAAATGCTATGTGTCAGTCATCAATGAACACAACCACTTTGTAGAAATGAAACAAAGGCCACTGTGGTTGGAGTACGAGAAACTAAGTTGGAGGATTGGCAGGAATATAATTAAAAGGTTTTAAACTGGGGAATGACTACTAGAATAAACATCTAACTGATGAAATCCCTTCCCCGCCAGGTTTTGTCCTCCAAGAAAACACAAACTGATCAAATCAGACTCCTCCTTTCAAATTCCCAAAAGCTCCCAGCTCTCCCTTATGACTACACGACAAGAGCCAGAACTCCTACACAACTTAGAAAGCCCTTTTTAATATCATGCTGATTTACCTTTATCATCAGTTTACCTACTTTTTTCCAAACTATCTTCAGCCACCAACATATATCTGCACTTTGTTTCAATAATACAAATGTCTCACTTTGAAAACACTGCAATTTTCTCCTCTCCTCAGCAGTAATTCTTTTTCATGTTTGACTGGAAATCTGATACTGCTAGACACTTTGATTCAGTTGTCTTTCTTTCCAACTGTCTTAGAATGACTGCATTTCTAGAAAATTCTCAGAAATATGCAATTAATAAAAACTTACACATCAATTCAGATACATAATATACTATTTTCCCCTCCTATTTCAAAGTATATTCCTTTCCTCTGAGGTCCCATGCTAACGCCTAAAATTCTCTTCACAAAAATGGAAAAAATTTTTTAAAGGCAATAAAATCCTAAACCAACCCAAAAGTGAGGATCACTCCATCAACATCACCAGTGGAAGCAAACAGTAACTGTCCTACAGGTCAGAATTAAAGGCATGGGTTCTTAACCAGAGGTCCACAGACTCCTCAGGGCTACAAGGTAGTTTTATGAAGCCCCTCAAATCGCATGCAAGTATGTGTACATGCCTTCTTCTGGGGAGAGGGTCCATACCTTTCATCAGAGTTTCAAAGATATCTGTGACCTCCAAAAGGTTAAGAAGTGTTCTAGAGAAAAAGCAAAGACAAGCAAATGTGATTAAAGAGTGAGTCCTTTTTAGGCTGCCAGGCGTGCCTCACGTTCCCTTAAGACAGTAATAGCTGAAATCAGGTCAAAGAACATTATATAAAGGTGACTTATCTAGTCAAATATAAATTTAATATAGACCTGACAAATACAGATTTGATGGAAGGAGGAACTCCATAATCCAACACAAGATCCATAATGGCAAGATATGGGGTAGCTGGCAGCTTACTCCAGGGATTTCAAAAGTAGAACAAATAGGAAGAAAACATTAGATCTTCTGTTCACTCATTCAAAAATTCCTTTTCCATGTATGTTTTATAACTTATGTAATGGTCAACACAATAAATATTAGGAGACCACTGATATGCATTTCAGTAGCAAATAAACAGTAACTCCAAAATAACACAAAAACCCACTAGTAAAGTTTAGAATCCAAGAGTGAGAAACATAGCAGCTTTCACAGAAAGACTAATTGGGGCCAACTGATATGTGACTAACGAGAGTCCCTCTCCCTACCCTTACTCCCCTTTTGCTTTTTTGGTTTTGTTTTGTTTTGTTTTTAAGCTCAGCAAGCTTTAAAAAATCCGTTTCCAGTTTCGGCTCGATCAGCCTGGCTGGTGTCCGAGGTAGCATGACCAAACCATCTAATGGAAAAGCTACTTGGGGACACAACAACGAATCTAGATAGTCTCTTACCGTACCCTAAAAGAAAACCCTCTCTTCTGCCAGGAAAATAGTAGTCTAAGTACGCGAGAGCTACCAAGATTCCCAAAAGACAACTTAAGGTACAGATTCCTTCCGTGCTTCAGAGTGTCACCCAATGGGGACACCAAGAGATGCAGGGCACATCCGCCATACGAAGCGGGACGTGGGTACCCCTAACCGTGGAACTGCTTTTCCAAAATACCGCCGCTGGGTCCTCTCTGGTGGTAGGGGATGGCGTAAGGGGAAGGTTGGCGGGCAGAAGACTCGGAAAACTTTAAAATCGGAGGCGTCTGCGCTTCCACTAACGCTTAAGGCCTCCTCCAGCCCACGCTCCTCTGGAGAGGCCTATCTTCGGAGAAGCCTCTCCCCCGGTTCAAAACCCGGCCCGGGGGCGTCACCCCGCCTAGAAAAACGAAGTGGAAGCATTTTCTGGATGTCGGGGACCTGCTCAGGGAGGAATACACAAACGTGGCATCATCTGCTAGCACGGGAATCTCAGCTTTGGACGGCGGACGGAAAGCATCAAACCCGAGAAAGAAAAAGGGGTCCTGGGTCCGGCGTGGGACAGAGGAGGAACCGCTGACGTAATGCAGCTCTGACGAGAAACGAGGATCACAGGTGGAAGGCACTCGCACACGCCGGTGGGGAAGGGTGACAGACGACACAACGATGAAGAAGGGAGCAGAGATAACAAACACGGCGGTCAACCGTGAGGAGAAATGGGAAATTACGGAAGGCGTAGCGGGGAAGAGAGGCACAAAAGAACAGAACTACGGCGGAAGCTGAGAAACGAAGTGGAAAAGCCTGCAAGGAGAACACGTGCACGAAGGCGCAAGCCACCCTGCGGGATTCGGTCCCCAGAAAAGCCCAACTCGGCCCTTCCCCCTCCTCACGGTACCTTCAGCTTATGGAGCTCCACCGTCTCGGCAGCCATCTTGTTACTCCTCACTCCGCTAGGCCCCCACCCGCTGCCTCCGCCTCCAGGGGCTCCCGCCGGGACGGGGAGACCCACGGCCGACCAATCGCTGCCGCTCTCACTCCCACCCCGCACCATCAGCCCTTCCCATTGGCCAGTAGCTGGCGTCGTTCTCACTCCTCCCGCAGCTTTCCCCACCTCTTGCAGAAGGTGGGGCAGGGAGAGGGGCGGGCCCTGCAGCTTCAGAACGGCAGAAATAGCGACCAATTGTGCGTTTCCACTAGGATTGCCTACCAATCGGTGGTGGCAGCGCTGACTCTGTTCCCCCAATAGGGAGAGCGCAGATGGGGAAGCTACTTCCTGGAGACCACAGGTGTGGTGGTGAGCTCCGCGCCCCTAGGCGGACCGGCTTCTGAAGCTGGCAGGTAGGGGCTGCCGAGGGGCTGGGAGAGGTTGCCGAGGGAAAATGGTGGGAGGCGAAAGGAGCGGCGAGGAGGCGGCAAGTACTGAGAAGGGAGCGAGCCCTGAAAGGAGCCCACGAACGATCTAGGGAAAGCTGGGAGGAGCATCGGGCGGGTTCGATGCTAGAGTTTAGGGAATCTTAGGTAGAGAGGGGGCGGGCAAGAGCTGCGTCCTAACCAGTTATCACCAGCTGTAGAGCTAGCACAATTCTGAAGAAACGAGTTCAGACGCTCGCTGCCGCCCCCGGAGTCAGGACTGAGGCTCCATTTCTCGAGGCTCAGGTCCCTTCCTAGCCCAGTCCAGAAGGCGTGGGCAAGTTCCTGCAGCGCCTCTCCTTGAGAGAAGGAATGAGGATACTGGCTACTTACATGCCAAGGGACTAAGACACAGGGCGGGCAGACCCAGAGGAAAAAGTGGGGACTCATTCCTTCTCAGTGGTTCCTTGATTGATACCATGACTTACTTACGGAATTCTAGTTGTGTGTGATCTCTTGGTGATTCTTACTAACTTCTTCAGGAAAATAGAGATACTCCTGTTTCCCTTGCTTCTTGAAGTAGGCTTAACGCCTTCATGTTACAGTTGAAGTGCAAAGATCAGAGTAAAAAATTACAATTTGTCTCTAAAATGTAGGGAGGACTCTTATTGCCTTTTAAAGTTTTCTCCGTCTTCAGTTTTTCCCTTCTGTGTTCTTGCATTGCCAATAGACCTCAAGGGGATTTTGGCTATTTGGGAGACAAGTGGGAGGACAAGCGCACAGAGGGGTTGAGATTCCTGCCTGATCCCCCATTATGGTAGGATGAATGTGGGGGTGGCACACAGCGAATTAAACCCCAACACTCGAGTGATGAATAGCCGGGGCATCTGGCTGGCCTACATCATCTTGGTAGGACTGCTGCATGTGGTTCTCCTCAGCATCCCCTTCTTCAGCATTCCTGTTGTCTGGACCCTGACCAACGTCATCCATAACTTGGTGAGCACTAAACCACTCCCTCGTACCCACCTCAGGCCTTTCCCAACCAAAAACCGAGTCACCAATTGTTTGGGGATTAATGTCTTCCTTTGGAATAATTCTTGGGTTCAAGAACTACTTTCTGCCTTTCACACTGCCCCCTTCCCTCTTTCCAGGCTATGTATGTCTTCTTACATACAGTTAAGGGGACACCCTTTGAGACCCCTGACCAAGGAAAGGCTCGGCTGCTGACATACTGGGAGCAGATGGACTATGGTCTCCAGTTCACCTCGTCCCGCAAGTTCCTCAGCATCTCCCCTATTGTACTGTGAGTCTACGGGCGAAAGGGAGGATGCTGGGTTAGAAAGAGTTCCAAGAACCAGGTAAAAAGACCAACAGGGAAACTTTTAAAAGGCAGACTACCCATCTATGACCTTTTGAAGAAACTGTGATATACTAGTTCTAAATCTACAGAGGATAGGAAAAAGGAGAATACAATATTATAATCAAGCATTCCTTGCTGCCTTCTTAGTAGTAAGGGAATGAAGGGACAGAGAAAAAAAAATGCCAAGTAAAACCAAATGAATTTACACTTCCAAAAGAAGTGAATAGATAAAGGCAGAACTGATGGTAATCTTCAAAAACACTGGGGAGTGAAAGCAAAGACTCTAACTGTCATACAGGCTGAAACAGCTTTAGCTATCATTTGCCATATCATTAACTTAAGAAACACAAACCAACCTATATCTCCAGTTAAGGTTGCTATCTGATTATCTCCTGAATCCCAAAGTAAATACTGTTGATATAGCTGAAATACTTTCAGATATCCTAGGACTACATACAATAAAACTGTTCATTTGAAATAGAAGACAACGAGCTGGGTGTGGTGGCATGCACCTGAAGTCCCAGCTATTCAGGAGGCTGAGGCAGGACTGCTTGAGCCCAGGAGTTGGAGGCTGTAGTGTGCTATGACTGCACCTGTGAATAGCCACTGTATTGAAGCCTGGGCAACATAGTGTGACCTGCCTCAAAAAAAATTTTTTTGGGTCATTGCCTTGCTAGACTCTGGTGTGGCCATGCGCTCTTAGAGCTATGGCTATCACCATGCTTCCTGGCTTTGGCCACCTCCCCCACATTGGGGAGGTGACTCTTCTCTTTCTCTCTCTAATTTACTTTTAAGTTTTAATAAATTTACTTAAAAAATTAATTAAAAAAAAATTTTAGCTGGGCTCAGTGGCTCAGCCTGTAATCCCAGCGCTTTGGGAGGCTGCAGTGAGTGGATTGCCTGAGCCCACGGGTTCGAGACCCACCTGGCCAACTTGGCGAGACCTCATCTCTACAATAAATCAAAAAAATTAGCCGAGCATGGTAGCACGCACCTGTAGTTTCAGCTAGTTGAAAGGCTGAGGCGGAAGGATCGCCTGAGCCCAGCAGGTCAAGGCTGCAGTGGCCGGGAGCGTGTCACTGCACTCCAGTCTGGGTGACAGAGTGAGACTCCAACTCAAAAAAAAAAAAATTTTTTTTGGCTGGGTTCAGTGGCTCACCCCTATAATCCCAGCACTTTGGAAAGCCGAGGTGAGAGGATTGTCTGAGCCTATTAGTTCAAGACCAGCCTGGGCAACTTGGCGAAACCTCTCTCTACAATAAATCAAGAAAAATTAGCTGTGCTTCATAGCATGTGCCTGTAGTTCCAATGACTTGGAAGGCTAAGGTAGAAGGATCGCCTAAGCCCAGCAGGTCGAGGCTGCGGTGGCCATGCCACTGCACTCCAGTGTGGGCAACAGGGTGAGACTCCAACTCAAAAAAAAAAAAAAAGAAGAGAAAGTTACTAGAAAGGCATGAATATGGATAGGGAAGGGCAACCTTACTCATCCTATTTTTCTCTCCCCAGCTACCTCCTGGCCAGCTTTTATACCAAGTATGACGCTGCTCACTTCCTCATCAACACAGCATCACTGCTCAGTGTACTGCTGCCTAAGTTGCCCCAATTTCATGGGGTTCGTGTCTTTGGCATCAATAAATACTGAGGGATGGGGCTGGGTGGGGACAGCTCCACCGGCATGGGGAAGTCATTGAAACAAAAGGCTATAACATCCTTCTCTTCTTTGCCGTACTGTCTTCCATATTTTGAAAGCCCGAGAACCATACCACCTTTCCCAAACTCTCAGGAAGAGAAGACATTGGAAAATGGGGCTCCTGGGCCCGGTCCTGCTGGGCAAGTTGCTTTGACTCAGGAGAGGCCAATGATGTAAGGGCCAAATCACTCACCTCCACACAGGAAGCCACGTTTGGGCGCTTGTTTGGTGATCATATTTTTCCATGTTTTCTGTCCCTACCACCTTCTGGCTTTGTTTCACTTGTATTTTCCTTATAATAAAGACAATTTTTTTTTCAGTTATGGCTGCAAGTTGATCAGCAGGAAGATTAGGGAAATGTCCTAATAAGGTTGGGAAGGAAAGATGGAATACTGACTTAACTGTATAAAGCTTTCAGCAATTTTTTAATCCTTCTCCTGGTGCAATAGGAGGTACCCTTCACTCTCAGCTGACATTTGAGAGAGAAAGGATTCTCAAATGAGAAAAAGGACTCCAACTATATGGGCAAAGAAGAAAGGGAAGATGCAGGTTGCCAGTTATACATTTATAGAAAGATAATCCCCTGGCTTTAAATAGATATGTACATACAAATATGAACAAACTTAAAAAAATACAAACCCTTGGATCACAAGAGGGCTCTGGGAACCCCCTTATCCTTCCCCCTCACCCAAGGGCAGCAGGCACGAGCCTACTTTTCAAAAATTATTAATTTTGGCCATCCTTGCAGCAACAAGCCCAAAATTGGGTGATGTACCCACAAGGTGAAAGTCCGAGGGAAAATTCAGTTTCCATTCTCTGAACTCTATGTATCTCCTATAATTAGGGCTACATATTTTCTTGTTCTGTCTTTTAAGTAGTGTATCAGGGTAAAGGAGGGAACTCCCTCCTGAAATCATCAAGGAGTAAGATAGATTCATAGTTTAAAAATGGGGGAAGTGTCATCTGCTCTAAAAGCAGATGATAAGACAAAGGCATACAGACCCCAGGGAAACACCCCTTCCCATACCTCAAAGGGACGTGTTGTCCAGCCCAGCTCCAGGCCCTAGGTTCTTTGCTCTAGCCACCCCTATTTCTTTGGTATTGTCAGAAGACAAGATTCAGTTCCTGGGTGCTGGGGAAGGAGGGAGAGTGGTTCAGGGGTTTCCTATGAGTACTGAGTGAATGACTTAAGCTTAAAATTTTCCCTTTTTAAAATATTTAAAAATAAACAAGTCAAACTCCAGCCTGTGCTGTACACAGCCCTTTTGACTCCCTGACAATTGATTTGAGGAAAGAAGAGAAGGGGTGTCAACGCTGGAAGGGTCTCCTCACTTTCTTCCGCCGCTTCGGCTTGGCTTCTCCCTTGGGTACTGTGCTGTTGGGCTTAGAGGCTGCAGTGGCTCCAGGGCCAGGCTGAGGAGCTGCAAAGAAGTTCCCATTGGACATCTGGCCTGGGGGTACTTGAAAGATCCGGCTCAAGAAATCCTGAAGGTCAGCAGGAGGGGCATCTGGGGTGGCTCTGAGATAAGACAGAAGAAAAAATAAGGCTAGAGGTACCAGAATGATATTGTTACCTAAGTTAAAAATATACTGAGTCAATGCCCAAACTTCCTAGAGAGTGAGGCACCTAGGTGTCCTAAAAAGCAGGCCATCTAAAACTATATTCAAAACTGGAATAGTAGAAAAATTACTGACAGAAATAACACCTACCTCTGCCGCCCACTGGTGCCTGGGATCCGAGAACCAAATGAGATGTGATAGGGGACTCTGTGGGTATCTGGGGAGATTCCTACACGCTGGCATCCAGCCCACTCTACAAACATGAGAAATATTTAGCCAAAACATCACAGTTTAGAGCACATGTAAGATCAGAAGTATGAGCCGATATTTCTAGAGGACGGAAAAGTACCTGTGATGTCATACACCTTTCCATCCATCAGTGCAAAGTAGGTGATCTTGAGGCCCAGCATGCTTGACTCTGCCCAAAAGTCTCCTTCCTCAGCAGGATGCAGCCTGTTACACTCAGCACAATATCTGGCACTCTTAGGTTCCCGATCCATTTCAAATCTCCTGCAATCCAACAAAAGGATAGTTTCTTAATAATTTGTCAAGCATACCTAGGGCATTGCTAGTAGTCTCATACTCACAAATATGGTGGAAACATCTAAAATTCTCTCCTTAGTTGTTTCATATGCCTATGTACCCCCCTGCCTTCAACTTTCTATCTTAAAGCTAATCTTGTTTTTTTTTGTTTTGTTTTTGAGACGTGGTCTCGCCAACCTGCTCACCCTGGTCTCAAACCTCTGGGTTCAGGCAATCCTCTTGACTCCACCTCCCTAAGTGCTGGGATTACAGGCATGAGCCACCATGCCCGTCACTAGTTTTCCTTTTTTTGAGTTGGAGTCACTCTGTCGCCCAGACTGGAGTGCAGTGGCACGCTCCTAGCCACCGCAACCTTGACCTGCTGGGCTCTGGCAGCCCTTCCGCCTTGGCCTTCCAAGTAGCCAGAACTACAGGCATGCACTACCATGCCTGGCTAATTTTTGATTTACTGTAGAGACGAGGTCTTGCCAAGTTGCCTGGGTGGGTCTCGAGCCTGTGGGCTCAGGCAATTCACTAGCCTCGGCCTCCAAAGTGCTGGGATTACAGGCTGAGCCACCAAGCCCAGCCGCTAATTTTTCTTAATGCTAACTCAAATTCTCAAGCTCTTGACGGCATGACAAAGGGTCATTTTACTCATCATCTATATCTCATACTTACCAATGCTCACAAGGAAGACCTCTGGTTACCCAACCCCTGAGCTGTGGCTGTCCCATCCCTGTCCTCCTGTTTCATACCTGTGCTTTCCTTGGCATCGGCTACACATCATGGTATTCATTGCCTCCTTGAGGTCGTCTTGCAGCTTGGACAGAAACTCATTCACTGACCAGCTCAGCTCATTCTCTGCCATTCGCTTCCTAAGGGAAGAAAGTCTTTGTAAATCAGAGAGTATTGAGGGAGGGACAAAAGGAGACAGATCTACTGGCCTTTTGAGGCCCCTGGCTAGTTAGAAAGACAAGCAACTTCAGTCCTCTCTGCCTCAAAGAGCCTCTATCCACATATCCAGGTGCCTCTCCTGTTGAGTGTTCATTTACTTCATCTGACAATTTCCCATCTCCAACTTACATCTCATATTCCTTCCGCCTTTCAGCATTGCTGACAATGTCCCAAGCTGCTCGCAAAACCTTGAAGGCTTCCTCAGCCTGGGGATGATGATTTTTATCGGGATGAACCTGCCCAGATAAAGAGATTTCATGACAAACTCATTCCAACCCTCTCCCCATCTTGGGTCTATTCTCATATCAAACAGTTCTCTTTTGGCTGGGTGAGGTGGCTTATGCCCATGATCCCAGCAACTCAAGAGGTTAAAATGGGAGGATCGCTTGAGGCCAGGAGTTCGAGACCAGCCTAGGCAACATAGTGAGACCCTGGTCTCTACACAAAAATTTAAACATTAGCCAGGCATGGTGGTGCATATCTGTACTCATAGGTACTTGGGAGGCTGAGGTAAGGATTGGGGCTTCAGCCCAGGAGTTTGAGTTTACAGTGAGTTATGATCACACCACTGCACTCCAGCCTAAGCAACAAAGCAAGAGACTGTCTCAAAAAAAAAAAAAGAGGTTCCCTTTCACCAGCCTTTTGGAGAGTCAATATAGCTTAATGATTAATTGCTCTGGCTCTGCAGACAGATTTGTGTTCAAGTCACAGCTCTGCCACTTATTAGCTATATTACCTTGAATATGTTATCTATCATGGATTGCTGCTAGGATTAAATGAGTACACATGAAATATATATCACAGATTCTGGCACTAGGGTGATCCACCATCCCAGTTTGCCTGGGACTGTTTCATGTTAGTACTAAAAGGTCCCATGTCTCTGGAACCCCCTTAATCCCAGGTGAATAGGGATCAATCTCCCTACCCAGCATACACATACTAAGCCCTTCCTTTTTTTTGAGTTGGAGTCTCACTGTCACCCAGGCTGGAGGGCAGTGGCACGCTTGAAGCCACTACAGCCTCTACCTGCTGGGCTCAAGCCATCATCCACCTCACCCTTCCAAATAGCTGGAACTACAGACCTATGCCACCACACCCAGCTAGTTTTTACAATTTATTGTAGAGATGAGGTCTCACCAAGTTGCCCAGGCTGGTCTCAAAACCCCGGGCTCAGGCATTCCTCTAGCCTTGGCCTCCCAAAGTGCTAGGATTACAGGCTGAGTCACCGTGCCCAGCCCTATTTTTATTTTATTTTTGAGTTTGAGTTTCACTCTTGTTGCCCAGAGTGGAATGCAGTGACACACTCACAGCCACCACAGCCTTGACCTGCTGGGCTTAGGCGATCCTTCCGCCGCAGTCTTCCAAGTAGCTGGAACTACAGATGCACGCCACCACACCTGGTTAATTTTTGTGATTTATTGTAGAAACGAGGTCTCACCAAGTTTCCCAGGCTGGTCTTGATCCCCCAGGCTCAGGCAATCCTCTTGCCTCAGCCTCCCAAACTGCTGGAATTATAAGCTGAGCCACCATGCCCGGCACCCTTGCATTTTAATTTTATTATCAGTTATAAAGTAAGAGTTCCAAAGATGTTACACAGATGTTACATTTTCTAACTTATTCCTTGTCCTTTTTTTTTTCTTTTTTAGGCATAGGTCTCGCTTTGTTATCCAAGCTGGAATGCAGTGGTGCAATCATAGCTCACTATAACCTCCTGCCTCAGCCTCCCAAGTAGCTCAGACTATAGGCATGTGCCACCATGCCCAGCTAAAAATTTTTTTTTTAGAGATGGGATCTTGCTGTGTTCCCCAGGCTGGTTTTGAACTCTTGGCCTCAAGTGATCCTCTAGCCTCAGACTCCAAATGGGAGTTACAGGCATGAGTCACCACACCTGACTCTAATTCCTTTTTTTAATTTTTTTATTCTTTTGTGTCTGGATCTCACTCTGTCACCCAGGCTGGAGGGCAGTGGCACGATCTCAGCTCACCACAGCCTTGACCTTCTGGACTCAGGCAATCCTTCTACCTCAGCTTGTATACAAAACTTCTTGGCTTGATAAACTATGGTGTGGCCATGTGCTCTTTGAACTATGGCCAGGCCATGTTTTCTTAAGCTTTGGCCCTGTCCCCTCCCTTGAGGAGGTGAATCCCCTCTCTCTCTCTCTCCAATTTACTTCCTAAATAAACTATATTTTCTAATCTAACTTCCGTGCAATTCTTTGCATCTTTCATGTGGCATTGGGTCACACACCAGACACCTACACCCCCAGCGGGCCTGACCTAACGTTTTGGAGGCCCTGCTGGGAGTGTTCCTTAACATTTTTGGAGGTTTCACTGAGATGTGACCTAACATTTTTGGAGGTCCTACAAAGATCTAACATTTTTGGGGTCCCACCGAGATCTGCCACTCTCTCGCTCTCTCATTCTCCTCTCCCACCAAGATTTGCCGCTTGCTCTCTCACTCTTTTCTTTTTTTTTTTTTTTGACAGAAGAAATGATTTATTTAAGAAAAATTCACCCCCCACAGACAGGGAGTGGGTCTACACTCTAGGTGAGTGTGGCCTCTCACTCTTTTTTAACCCTAGTCTCTCTGTGGAGAGAGATAAGGCGCTTGGCTCTCTTCTCTGCTACTCTTAAAGAAAATAATAATAATAATCTGCCTTTCTGTACCAGAAAATGAAGTAGCATATCATGATCTCAGAGGCTTTTTATATATTTTTCAGCCTTTAATCCAAGACAAATAATATTTTTTTTTTTTTGAGTTGGAGTCTCACTCTGTCACCCAGACTGCAGTGCAGTGGCC